TGCCCTGCAAGACATCTCCCTTACCAAATAGGCGTATTTGCGTGGTTGCTTGGCCCAGGGTTTTCAATTTTTTTGTGTTAACATGCCTTTCTACTCACTGCGCTATCGTGATCCATTCAAGTGAGCATTTATAGAATATGCCGAAGATTTTGACTATGAGAATGTATGGATAGAATATATGACATATTTCCCTGATGGAGTTATCTGCACTTCAAACAATACTGAAGGACAAACTTCATCCTGTTCAATGGACGAGGTCAGCACTGTCAGTTTTTCTTCTCAAATTTGAAAGCCTTCGCGATATTGATCCTGAAGCCGGAAGGAGCTTGATTGATATCGCCTGTCTAGACTTTTCAGTGAAGCAAAAATTAGAATTAATGGAATTTTTTTGTAGTTTCCGAAAAATAAAGTTGGTAGTTTGAAAATAGTGAAACTGAAACGTTCACCTTTAGGACGGTCGATTTCATTTTGCCTTCACCATCGAATTCGACTTTACCGCAGCCGACATCTCCTCGTTTCATGTCCGGTTTCGGATCAGGTCCGAAGATTTTTGGGGCCGTCAGTATCTGGCTGGTTACGGCAGTCTCACACCGCTTCTTCAACCAGGAAGGTAGGGCATTTTCGCTAAGTAAGGCTCAATCTGGATTTTTTTTCATGATTCACTATTTCCCCCTACTACTCAGTACAGTACCCTTTCCAGAACGGACTATCGCGTCGAATGCTGGAGACCGATCAAGGCGGACGATCCAATCAGTGAACTGCGTGAATTCTTCATTGGTCAAGCGATCGATATTGATTTCTTCAATCTTAAAGAGGTGCTTCTTTGAAACCCTCGTGTGCCAGTCAATATGATAGACTACAGTAGTGATTCGACTTTAGTAGTGATTTCGGCCTAGGCTAGACAGGGTGCAGCATCGTGATGTGTGAAATGGTGGTGTCAGTACGACTCCCCCCCCACCTCAAAGGAGTGTCGTCAGTACATACGATCCGGATCTCGGTACATGCGCCCCCTCCTCCTTCCCAACATTACCTACCGAATTTCCCAGCATTTTCCAGTTTTTTTACCGTTCAAGGAGTTTCCGTCGAAGCGAGGGAAAATACAGCCCGTACCTAAAGTTATCTTACATTTTCGCCCAACTCTAGCCAGCTTTTTTTCGAATTTTCCGAATATTTTTCCTGTCCCACTCACCGTCCCACAATCGACTAATACGACCCCTCTCCAGCGGAACTACGGCCCCCGTATGTGTTTGCGATGCTGTAGGGCTTGAGGCTGGATAAGTAACATTTATATATCTGGGCGCAAATGACGTCACCCGAGCCGTCAAGACGGCCCGGCTGCTGATGGTTTCCTACAAGGGAGAAACCCAAATCTTTCAAAGATTTTTTGAAAAGGTTGACGAGAGTTCTCCTCCGAAAAGAGTGAAGGCGTTAGAGATTGTACAGAGCTCTATGTTCGGGTGGGGTGGGCTGTAGTATGTATTGGATAAAGTCGACACTCCGCCTTCATGGTGTTGATCGAGCATTTTTAACCATGAGAGGTCATGTTGAAGTCTGGACCAGCAGGGTCGTAACTACGGTAAACCATCGCCAGATGAGTCGAGTGAGGATACCACAGAATATCCTGTCCGTCAGCCACGACCCGCCCTCCGCATCTCCTCTTATTGTACTCCTTTCCCATCCTACCCTCAATCTTGCCAAAGTCTTCCAACTTCCTACTCGTTTTCCGGAAATTCGCAGTTTTTCTCAGATACCTGGGGCCGAGCGTGCGAAAGCAGGAAGGTTCTCTCCAACTGACTATTAGATTCAGCTATGAAAACTAGTGGTCATGTCGGAACTTTACGGCGCCGTCAGTCACGGGAGTGAGGGGGGGGGAACTGGGAGGTACGGGGGGCGGGGGGTGTAGCGCTGACTGAAATGGGAAAAATCAAGCAGCGAAAATGTTTTTGCTCGAAAGTTTGCTTGGGGCGTCCACCTATTCATCGACCAAGTAGCGACCCCCCACCACATCTCCCCAAATGGGATTCTTTGAACGATGTTGTACCCAGCTAAGGCTAAGTTGTTCTCACCTTTGCCTTTTTCTGCGACATACTATACCTTCAAAAATGAAAGACCTAGTTGAAAAGTTCATTTTCAGGACGGAGTGATATCAAGATCCGGATTGAGTACCCAGTCGTCGGGAACTCTGCATGTGTCGGTGACCAATGTGTGCTACAAAGGGCGAGACTACATCGCCAAGGAAACATTGAAATCACATGAAATACGGCGCAATGTTCGATCGTATGGGGTGAGCAATCATTATTGGATAATACTTTGAGGCGTAGTTCGCGTCGGTTGTGGGGGCGGAGCAAGCCTACCATTGTGCTTCCTTCACTCTGCGCGACCTCGTACTGTAAGAGGTAAATGAAAGAGGGCCAATGAGCCAGATGTAAGGGCTGGTCAAGCCCACAGGGCCAGCATACACTACTCCTTCAACCGTTCAGTTCATTGATCGATTTAACGACCGTGACTTCATTGATTATTATTGATCGTTTTGACGAACATCTTCTCTCGTTGGTTTTTCAGGATGAGATCTGACCTTTACTGGCGTATAATGAAAGTACTGATGGAGTTTGAAGAGGCCAAAAGACAACTTCTTCAACTGCGTGCTGCCCAGTAAAAGCTCCAAGAACCAAATTCTATTGCTCAGTGATATTCGCCTATGTATTCCTTATGTATTAGGTTGGCAAAAAAAGTATCGCGATTTTTTGAAATATGATATTCATGTATAAAAAGGATGCCAGCATCCGATTAACCTGAGAATAATTTCTAGACATTCACGAGAGCTCGCTCCTCTGGAGTATGCGAACCGTTTCCACTTTCATTACGCATTAACGCTGGCTGGAATTTTCCTAGAGTGCCCATAATAATACTGGCAGCTGCTGTAGCCCGAAAGTTCAAACGAATACGTTCAGTAAAGGACGGCTACCGGAATGCGTATACCGTACAAATTTGGCATAAACGCTTCAAGGATAGAGAGACGGACATGGAAGACCAACCTCATAGTGGACGTCCTTCAGAGCTCGAAGACTCGGCATTGCTCGCTGACACTAAAGGAAGAGCCATATACCACCGTATGAGTTTAGCAACGCAAGGTTCGGGCGCAGCGGCATACGACGCTTAAACGCCTTCACGCTCTTCGGTCTTGGATGCGAAACGATGTTTTGAGGCAAATGGGTACCTGCATCAGTTGACGGCGAGAATCTCTTCTCTTCCAACCGCATCGCAAGGAGTTTCCTTGAGGGCCTGATTACTGAAGATGAGAGTTGGATCTCTACGATGCCAACACCCGTGCTGTTTGGCTTCTGTGCGGTGAAGAATCGTCCACGCAGCCGAAGTCCGACCTCCGCCCAAAGAACGTTATGCGTGCGTCTAGGATTCCACAGGAATGCCTCACCACGAGTTGCTACCGCACGGCAGCAACTGGAGCTTCTGGAGCTGGTCAGCATACACGATATCACCGCTACCGTGTGTGCTGATCAGCTCCAGAAATTGGCGGATGCTGTGAAAGAAAAGCGCCCAAGAAGAGCTACCGTCCACCTTCTCCATGACAACGCTCGGCCTCATGTCGCTTCGACGACTCGTGAAAAATTGATGGAGCTCGGATGGCATCCCGTTGCACATCCACCCTACTCTCCAGACCTTGCGCCGTCAGACTATCATTTGTTCAGACCGCTCAAAGCTTTCTTGTCTAAGAAAACTTTTGTTAAATATGATGATGTAATTTCGGCAGTCACCGAGTTCTTCGACTCCCAGACTCCAGCATTCTGGGAGAAGGGGATCGGTGATTTGCCTATTAAGTGGAGCAATGTTATTGCTAATGACGGTGATTATATTGTTGATTAATTGTTATGTTATACAGAAGAAAAATAAAGTTGAAAAAAATTCAAATCGGAAAATACTTTTTTGTCAACCTAATGTTTCTTATGTACATAAGTTTGACTTGAGTTAGAAGTTAATTCCATTAGATGCGAAATAAACATCAACAAACAGTCATAAAAATTACAAACGAAGTCTATCTGTTAATTGGTAGCTGGGGACTAAAAAGGTTTTGCAACTTCTCAGGCTGAACTTTGGGTTGACTTGCAATCTATGAATGAATTGCAAGTCGTTCATTGGGGACCTCCAACAAGGAGGTCCTATTTGGTCAGCAGAGGGAGGGGGTCACATTAGAGAGAAGATTTCGCGTAAAATGTTTCCGGTTGCTGTCGTTTATTGGTTTTCCCCCGTTTCACTGGCGTTATACACACACAGTTTCTCCGGAACAAGAGTAGAAAGTTGGGGAGAATTAAGCCTAGCACTATGGTAGAGGTAGGATGGGGAAGTTGGTGGGAGCGCATCAAAGGAGGAAACTTTGAGGGGGGGTGGTCACATATCGCAAATTTCCTC